CGGCCTGGAAAAGGCTTAGGAAGCCTTCCCTTGGACCCACCTTCGGACCACCAAAATTTAGCTGGGGGCCTAGTTTAAACTCGCCAGGGTCCAAGATCATGGTTCTAGCAAGTAAATCCCCTGCCTCCAAGTCTTACTCTCACTAAAGGTCAACTTCCCCAGTGCAAGCTCAAGGTGGGTATTACTCTTGGTCTCAAGAACCCCTTCACTGGTCCCCACTCACTCTGGGAATAAAAGCTCCAGTTCCTCAACCCAGGGCACGCAGGGGGTCTACTTCCAATCTTCCTTTTCCCATCTTGCCTGTGCTAGTCTCCCTTTCAAAGCACTCCGTGTGCTATACAACCTCAACACATCGTGGACCTCCATGCTTTTGCCTATGCTGGTCCTCCTGTCAGAAATGCAGCCTTTCCTCCACCTCTTCTCCAAAGCCCTGCAAAATATTAAGATCGAACTCAAATGCCACCTCCCTCGTGGCCCTACCGAACCCACAGGGCGACAAGCTCTCCCTCGCCCGGCTCATCCACGTCTTTTTGCTTCTATGGCCAGCGCCCAGCAGCAGACATTAGCTCACTCCCCAGGCTAGGCCTCGCTGTGTTACTAAGCGCATGGGTCTTCTGAAATGGATTGGTGCAGGTGCTGAGGGAGACAGAAATTGGGGAGAAGTGTGTGCATAGAGAGGCCCGCAGAAAACTGCAGAAGGGCAGCAGAAAGCAGCGTAGAAGAGCACAGGACCTGGAACCTGACTGCCTGCGTTCAAATCCAGCTTTCCCTCTTCCTAGCTATGTGGCAAATGACTTCTCTGGGCCTCAGCCGTCTCATCTGAAAAGGAGAGGTCATTAGAATACCTACCTCCACGGGGCACTGCGAAGACTAAATGAGTGATCATATGTGAAGCTGAGAGCAGTGCCTGGTACACAGTAAGTGCTAAATAAGTGCTTACTGCTACTGTTATGAGCCAAGCCCCAACAGGGGCTCAGCGCTGGCAGAGGGCTGACAGTTGCTGGCACAGTCCCCAAACTGTAGCTACTTTTCTGGCACATTTCCCATATGCTACTTGCTTACGACCCTGTTGGGAGATAGGCAGGGCAGACAATTAGTCCCATTTCACAGATGAGGGACCGAGGCTCACTCAGGGAAAGCGCCGGTGAAGAAGCAGTAGGGCCAGAACCCGTCAGTTCTACCCAGACCTCCTTCCCCTCCACCAGGCAGCGGTGCACCTGTTGTGCAGGCCTCGCTTAGCGCCCAGCAGCCCCTCCATGCAGGAGGCCCCAGCCACCGTGCCTTCCTGCCGCTCCCCGTGCGTATCCACCCTCCAGACCAGGCGAGGCGCAGTACCCAGTGGTGTGTACACACTTGGAACACACACACACCATCCCCCCTACACACACACACACACACACACACACACAACCTACAGAAGGGCCCAGGCCCCAAAGGTGAGGAAAACCGGTTCTGAGGAATCTGCCTAGTGAGCAAATTCAGACCCTTCCACAGTCACAGGAGCTGCCCAGCGTGCGTCACAGACACAGAAGCAATGGAAAAGCAGAGATACCAGCAAGGGGGGCCGAGAGAGGGTGAGGCAGGAGGCGGAGGCTGAAAACTTCGTGTTTCTTTTTTCCATTTCAGTGACAAGAGTCACACCCGACCTTTACGTAAACATGACCAAGGAGCCACTCTGTCCAAGCTCAGTTTCCTTGCAGCCGCCAGGCCTCTCCTCCCAGTGACCCTGACACGCTGGGCAGGCCAGCGAGAGGCCAGCGCACAGACCCTGCACACAGACGAGCCGGGCCACCCGGACGTCACCCAGGCCTCCTGCCTGCTGCCCTTGCTCTGCCCCACATTTATCTCCCTGCTTCTTCCTCACACAGCCCCACAAGGCCACTCACACACACGAAAGGCAGGCACGCACACACGGCTGCGGCCGATCTCGAGGCTGAGGCCCACATGCCCTTGTCACGCCACCTCCCTCCCCACAAGTGTTTTCTGAGCAGCTCGCCTCCCAGCCCAACAGCAGGGACAGGCTCCCCACAAACAATGTCACGAAAGACTCCCTCAGCGCACACACAACCTTCCCCTCGCTGGGCTGCCCACGGTCCCGTCCACACGACCTGCACATTCCACCCAGAGCCCCTCACACCAGTGCCGGCTGCTCCACAAGTACCGGAGACACACCCTAGGGTTTCTCAAGTCCCTCACGATGGGTGGTACCTGAGTTCTAGACGTGCGCCACCTCCCCAAGCAACTCGCTCATCGCACACACAGGAACCCATCCAGCGGGGCGTCCTCACCGAGCAGCACAGAAACGGACCACACCTCAGCGGCGCAGACACGGGGCCCAGAAGTGACACCTTCCAACTCAAAGGTAAACAACCGCCCCTCCAAACAGGCGCAGACGCCTGCGCTCGGCCGCCCAGAGCACCGACACCAGCGAGCCGTGCGGAAAACAACAGTTCATAAATAGTTCATCTGTGCAGGAGGCAGAAGAAAACACTTGCTGCTATAAACCTGCCGAACACCCCACATCCAGCAAACTCTGCAGGTACCGGATCCTGCCTGGAACGGGGACCTGTCCCCCCAAGCCGCGGGGCCACCTGCTGTAATGCTGCCCCACAACCCGGGGCAACCCCACCACCTGGCTTC